TGATAATCTGCATGTCAGTTTAGCTCAGAATCTTGTATGATGCATTCACCTTAAAATGCCACTGCTGTGTCCCTGCCATATTAGTGTATCCACCCCATTCTGTAATCCTGTGAAGCCTTCCAGATGTTTGTAGAAATCAGTGAATCTAGTCACCTCCCAATCATTCAACATTCTCCTAAATACAAGTCCCCATCCTTGAGGAGACCACATTTCAGCTATTGTCTTTTGTTGATGTCGGGCCACATTTCACAACAAATGTTCTCAAAACCAATACGAAAGATCTATATATTCACTCCTCTTGAGATACAGACTTTGGATCAGATTTCCTATCTTCCATTCTTCAGTTTAAATGTCTTCTTACATCAATACTTGGTATCTGTGTGTATTCACATGCATACAAACTGAGACTTCGAAACCTTTTCAATTAATCTTTTTATTGTACTTTCTATATTTCAAGCTTTTAGTATTGTGGATATTTCTGTAACTACGATAATTTGGTAATTATTAGTTGTTACAGCACCGAGCATAAAATTTATAGTGAAAGGTTTAAGGTTGTCTATGTAGAGTTTGGGTAATATTAGTTGTTAGAGTTGGTTTTAAACATCCTTTTGAAGTTCTAGCATCTACAAAGATATCATTGCATATCAGACTGCTCAGCTAATACAGAAATTTCAGATAATTTTTTTAATAGAAAGATCAAAGAATTTTTCAGATAAATTTGCTTCCTTCACATTGTGTGATGCAATGCTTTCTCCTACAACAAAATAAACTTTATGGCAAGAAAGAAAAGCTCACCTGCACAAATGGAAGGGAATCTACATAAAGGAGTCTTTAGCTACAAAATCTATCAGCATAATCATTTCTAGTTGCAGAACCTTCCTCTGCTTTTCTTCAAACGTTCTCCTGTTCCTTTCCCTATATGAGGCCCCCTTCCCACTATTCCTCTTCCATATTTTTGCACATGTAGCGTCAATTTAGACGTACTTTGACGCATAAGATCTACCATGCAGGAAGTGACATTTTCTTCGTCATTTATTCAATTTTCTTATCACTTAACCCAGAGCCCTCGAAACATCTATTGTTTTAACTTCCTTCAGTCTTTTTATCAGTAACTTAGAGCACATATAAAAACTACTACGTGTGTTTGTCCATATATCACTTTACGGCATTCGTTTAATTCATTCTCTCGTCACTTAACTTAGTGCTCAAACAGTTCCCCTTTCAACTTCTGTCTACCAATTATTAACGCTTTTAGGCTGCAACTTAGGGCCTCAAAAGCTATTACAAGTTTGTCCGTACATCATTAATTCCTCTCCACAACCATGTAAAATTCTGAAAAGGTAGATTGCCAAACCTTATGCTTGTCCAACCACCCCTTAATTGAAGGCAGAGACCTCATCCAGAGGATGGAGATAGCCAGGAGTGCTAGCAAGAGTTGATGTTAGATGTTAAACCACTGTTAACTCAGTTAATCGCCTAAGAAGTTCCGAATTAACATGATCATTTGAAATATGACATAGTTGCTACTGGGACACTAAATTAAGCCACCCAAATTACTAACATACTTGCTACTTCAGGCACTAAATTAAGCAAACAAACAACAACAATCCAGTAAAATCCCACAAGTGGGGTCTGGGGAGGGTAGTGTGTACGCAGACCTTACCCCTACCCCGAAGGGGTAGAGAGGCTGTTTCCGAAAGACCCTCGGCTCAAGATAATAAAAAGAAGACAAAAGGAGAGGATATTAGATTCATCACGGAGATCATAGAAAAAATAGGAACATAAAATGCAGAAGAAAAATGCAAACCAAAAACGGTGGCTAGTAAATGGATCCAACGTCGAAAAATAAAATAGTAAGACACGACGTTGCCCCTAGCGTTCTTAGACAAAACCCTACCAGACTAGGCTCACAAAGGTACAAAGTAACGCAAGACTCAACTACCTCCCAGCCTACAACTTTAATACTCGACCTCCACATCTTATCAAGTGTCATGTCCTCGGAAATCTGAAGTCTCGCCACATCCTGCCTGATCACCTCTCCCCAATACTTCTTAGGCCGCCCTCTACCTCTTCTCGTGCCTTTCACAACCAGCCGCCCACACCTCCTTACTGGAGCATCTGGGCTTCTCTTTTGTACATGCCAAACCATCTGAGCCTCGCTTCCCGCATCTTGTCCTTAATGGGAGCCACGTGCACCTTCTCCTGAATATCATTCTTAATCTTATCCATCCTAGTATGCCCGCACATCCACCTCAACATCCTCATTTCTGCTACTTTCATCTTTTGAATATGTGAGTTCTTAGCAAGCCAACACTCAGCCCCATACATCATGGCCGGTCTAACCACCGCTTTGTAGAACTTACCTTTGAGTATCGTTGGCACTCTCTTGTCACACAATACTCCAGATGCTAACCTCCACTTCATCCATCCTACCCCAATACGGTGTGTGATATCCTCGTAGATCTCTCCTCCCCCGTGGATAACCGAACCAAGGTACTTGAAGCTGCCTCTACTTGGGATAACCTGTGACTCAAGCCTCACATCGACGTCCACTTCCCCCGGCTCAGCGCTTAACTTACACTCGAGGTATTCTATCTTCGTTCTGCTTAGCTTGAAACCCTTAGACTCAAGAGTCTGTCTCCAAACTTCCAATCTCTCGTTAACACCGGCTCGTGACTCATCAATCAGAACTATGTCATCGACGAATAGCATGCACTATGGCACTTCCCCTTGAATATGGTTTGTTATCGCATCCATCACCAGGGCAAATAAGAATGAACTGAGCGCAGAGCCTTGGTGTAGCCCCATTTCAACCGGAAAATGCTCAGAGTCGCCTCCTACTGTCCTAACCCAGGTCTTAGCCCATCATACATGTCCTTAATTGCCATAATATAAGGAACCGACACACCTTTTGCCTCCAAGCATCTCCGGAGAACTTCTCTAGGAACCTTGTCATACGTTTTCTCTAGGTCAATAAACACCATGTGCAGATCCTTCTTTCTCTCTCTGTACAGTTCCACCAACCTCCTAACAAGGTGTATAGCTTCTGTGGTGGAACGGTCAGGCATGAACCCGAACTGGTTGTCGGATACAGACGTTGTCATCCTCACCCTCGCTTCAACCACCCTCTCCCATACTTTCATGGTATGACTCAGTAATTTGATACCCCTATAGTTGTTACAACTCTGGATATCACCTTTGTTCTTATACAATGGAACCACCGTACTCCACCTGCACTCATCCAGCATCCTCTTGGCCTAAAAAATAACATTAAACAACCCAGTCAACCACTCCACACCTGCTCTTCCTACACACTTCCAAAATTCCACTGGAATTTCGTCTGGCCCGGTCGCTCTGCCCCTACTCATCTTACGCATAGCCCCCACGGCCTCCTCGACCTCGATACACCTGCAGTGCCCGAAGTCACGGTGACTTTTGGAATGCTCCAATTCGCCTAGCACAATATCATGATCCCCTTTTTCGTAAAGAAGTTTATAAAAGTAAGTCTGCCATCTCCTCTTAATCTGGGCATCTTCCACTACTACTCTACCATCTTCATCCTTGATGCATCTCACTTGGTCCAAATCTCGAGCCTTCCTCTCTCTCAACTTGGCCAGCCGGAATAACTTCTTCTCCCCGCCTTTTTCCCCCAGTTCCTCGTACATGCGACAATAAGCCGCAGTCTTAGCCTCCGTGACCGACATTTTAGCTTCCTTCCTAGCTACCTTATAACTCTCCATGCACGCTCGCCTCTCCTACTCACCTAATCTCCCAACTAACTTCAGGTATGCCGCCTTTTTCGCTTCCACTTTACCTTGGACCACTTCATTCCACCACCAGTCTCTTTTATGCCTACTAGAGACACCGATCGAGACCCCTAACACCTCTCTCGCAGACTCCCTTATGCAGTCTGCTGTCGCTGACCACATAGTGTTCGCATCCCCACTGCTCCTCCAAGCTCCCATAGCTGACAACCGGCACTCCAACTCTTGGGTTTTATCCTTAGTCAAGGCTCCCCACCTGATTCTTAGTTTTTCCCGAGCAGACCTTTTCCTCCTCTTTAACCTAATACCAACATCTAGCACCAAAAGTCTATGCTGCGACGAGAGTGTCTCACTTGGAATCACCTTGCAGTCCTTGCACAACCCGCTGTCACACCTCCTAAGAAGGAGATAGTCAATCTAGGTCTCCACTACCGCATTTTGAAAAGTAATCAAATGCTCTTTCCTTTTTGGAAATCTAGAGTTTGCAATCACCAACCCAAAAGCCTCAGCGAAGTCCAACAGCAATGTACCTCCTCCGTTCCTCTCCCCAAAACCAAAGTCTCCATGCACCTCGCCATAACCACCTGCAGTCGCCCCAATATGACCATTGAAATCCTCTCCTATGAATAGATTCTCTGTAGGCGGAACCTGGCGCACAATCAAATTATTAAGCCAACCAAATTATTAAGATTCTGCTTCGTGATCCACTAAAAAAAATTTCCAATATGATTCTCGGACATCTATATCATATATCGGCTGTGAGAAAACATTATCTTTTATGTGCTTTACATATGCTTTTATATGACAAAAAGCTAAAGTTACCAAAAAGGAAAAGATGAAAGGTTTTTTTAAATATATTGATGATAGACCTTAGAAGAATCATATGGTCAGCAAATTGTTAATTGTTATTGATATGATGAGAAAATTGCAGCATACATTGTGCATTGAAATTAGGGAATCCTGTATTCTTAGCACGTAAGCTAGACAACTTTCCACAAATCTATGCTCTCCGGTCATTGAATTACATTGACTCAAAAGCTTTTGCTTTCGGAGAAACTCACATGTAACCACAAAAATGATGTTATGCAAAGAACTTTATCATGTAAGAGACAAGCTAACGCATGGAGCAGCAGAGAGAATGACAGCATCAAAGAGAACTTAAAGTGCCAGTATCTCTTAAAAAAAAAAAAAAGCAAAATCAGTGAACTATAGTAGCGCCATAGTAGAAGTTATTACCTGTTTCTATAAAAACGATAGTTCTGTACCTCATGGCAGCCACCAAATTTTGCACCTAATCAAACCATAAATTAGTCAAAAATAAATAAATCTTGATTCACTTGAGAGTGCTCAAGTCATGTTTGAAATTAAATTGTTGATATAGAGGTGTAGTCACACCTAAATAGAATTTAATAGGATGCTGAAACGACCAATTACGAGAGTGCCCAAGTTCTTCATGAGGACGCCACTGTGTGCACTTAAAATCTGGGGAAAAAGGACGGAAAACTTTTGGTTAACCACATAATTACTTATCAGTTCATTGTGATCCATTGCTTCTAAATCTAACTGACAGAATGCGCTGAAATATATCCACGTCAGCAAAATCCATGAATACTGTCACCTTTATCACCACATTTTCTACGGAATGACTCCTGAAAAGCAATACCGTCATCTGAAATGAAGAGTTCAAAGAACTTCTCAACCGTAACCTGCACCTCAAATATTAAGTTCAAATAACAGTCTAAGATTAATTACACATCCATCATGAAGAAAACTAGAGATTCAGAACAAATGAAAGAACTAGGGAAAAAGATAAAGTTATATCACCGGAAACTTGGCCTCTGCAACAAGTGTAAAGCATTCAGGGACTGCATGTCAAATAATGCAAAGTTTAGGTAAATCAGGAACTGAATAGAATTTCAAACACAGAATATAAAAAAGAAAAGGAAAGTTTTGCTGGTGGAATCCAAGAAACAATTGCTTTAATAGCTTTAGAACCTATTGGATACAAGTACCAAAGAGAATCTTGTTTCTGGCTGAAAGTACGCATCTATCAAACAGAACTTGAGCATTAACTTGTGGTCAGAACTCTGAGAATAGACACCCACCCCATAGGAGAATACCAGATAACATCTGTCTAGTACGAGGAAAGTAAACCTGCTCATAAGTCCTAGTAACTGTCTCTCACTTCGTGATGTGCACGTCTGATACCTTATTAGCAGACAGTTCTCTCACTTCATGATGTGCACGTCTGATACCATATTAGCGGACTAACAACAACAACAAACCCAGCTTAATCCCATATTAGCAGATAGAGGCAAAGAAATAGGATTAGAAAACCAGACCAAGATAAGGGCACACTATATGTTATCTGGGAAGGTGTGGAAGATAAAAATGACAGCACTTTCCAACTTGAAGGTCCTAAATGCACCGGGTAGTTTAATTCATTCTTCCTGCCTTTTCCCTTGTTACACGTTAGCACATTTGGGAGAGTTACATGAGATTTAGCTTTGCGCATTACATTTAGCTCTAATTCCGTTTCATGTTTTAGACTAGTGACACTGCAATTCTCAGTATTATGAAGAAGAAGTAAACATACAGGCAACGCAACATGAGCACATACTTCTTGTGTGAGAATGCACGGGAGAAAATCTATTTATTGACAATGATACAATGAGCCCTATATATAATACATATTCTACTCCTACAACATATGGGACTAGGACATAGAGGGTGTTTGGCTAAGCTTATAAGCTGGTCAAACTGACTTATAAACACTTTTTGGCTTATCTACGCGTTTGGTAAAATTAAAAGTACTTATAAATTAAGTGCTTATAAACCAAAAATAAGCCAAATGTCATAAGTTGGTCTCCCCCAACTTATCAAATTTCAACTTATAAGCGCTTTAGGTTTGACCAAAATATTTACTATTCTATTCCTAAAATACTTCTTTTTAAAATAAAAATCTTCGTATACTCAGTTCTTCAGCTGCTAATTATTAATTTCAGCACTTTTATCCAAACACATAACTGCTTATTTTTTAAATCAGCTCCAGCACTTAAAAGTGTTTTTCAGCATCTAATGCTTATCAGCTACAATAAATCAGCCAAGCCAAACGGGCTCATACTCTACTCCTACTACATATAGGACTCGTACTATTTACACATAACTATCTAAAACTCCCCCTCAAGCAGGTGCATACATACGTACCGAACTTGTTACATATGTAACTAATACGAGGACTCGTGAGAGACTTGGTGAAAATATCTGCAAGTTGATTATTCGACATACAAGGCCACTCGACTCCCCCTAAGCAACAAAACCAAGTGGTTGCTGATAAACAGAAGTTGGCCGAAAGGTTGCCGGAAAAATTTGAAAATATTGAGACTACGCCGAATTCCACACTACAAAATAGGTTCTAAAACACCACCAGAAAACAGAACTTTTCTAGAAATTACTATTCACACCGGGAAATCACTGTTCATGCCTGAAGTGCACTGTTTACGCTGGAAAAAATAAAAGTTGTCAGAATTTGATGTAATTTATATGCGTAGGCTCGAATCACCAGACGAGTAAGTTGTCCTGAAGAAGTTTTGTCAAAAAGTGGCCAGAATGGCTTACACGCACCGGAAAAGTTACTGTAGCTCGACGGAACCCTAGTTCTGGCGGCGCGTGACTTTCTGTCAGAGCGATTGGCTGGGTTTTGTCGCCTAACTTTTTCGAACAAGATGGTAGTGTTGGTTTTTGCACAAACACTTACCGATGAGGAGATAACGCAAATCAATCTTGAGTAGTCAATCGGAAAAACACACGGTGACTGACTTTTCTGTTCAGATAGGACGGGAATTTCTAGGGTTTGGTCGCACAAGGGTTTCGTATCTGTAGCAGTGATGAACCCTGGAACAAGACTAAGTTGCCGGAAAATTGCACGGCTATGAGATCTTTCTTCCCGGATGTCGCTGGAATGACGCATAACAATAATTTTCTCACTAAGCTCTGATACCATGTGAGAATGCATGGGAGAAAAATCTATTTATTAACAATGATACAATGAGCCCTATATATAATACATATTCTACTCCTAGTACATATGGGACTAGGACATATTCTACTCCTACTACATATGGGACTAGAACGTATTCTGCTCCTACTACATATAGGACTAAGATTATTTACACATAAGTATCTAACATCTTGCAACAAAAGAATGCACATGACTTCAACATATCAGCCAACGAATAAGCAATTTTTCTTTAAATACTAGAAACCAGAGATTGTTAATTAATTGAATGGAGAAAATCATTTAACACACTTGAAGAATGAAGAAGCACATAACAAAAAGCCCAAAGGGACATTTGACTGACCCCGAGGTGCATCTGAATCCTCCTGCTTCAAAGCTGAGGACCTCCCAGAAGAGGAGCAATCAGTACTTTGAACAATAACTGCTTTTTCTTCCACATTGCGCTGCAATCCTAAAGGCTTTGATACAATTTCAAATTCGCCATTGGCCAAGGGCTTTGAGTCTTCCTGTACTGTATCATCCTTATTCCTGGTCACATGAATTAACAGACTGAAATAACTCCAGTGCAAGGGAAGATAATTCCTAACTTGACTCTAGATACCTTTCGAGGGATTCTACCCCTTCCATAGCCTGCCTGAAACTATCTGTTCCTTCTGGTATTCCACTATCTTGACTGTTTAGATCAGATTTTGGCTCCTGACGTCAAAGCAAAGTTAAACACAGTCAGAACTGCAAAGAGAAGGCCCAAAAAAAATAAAAGCATCAGCAAGAAATATTTTCAGGATTGAAACAGATATTTCTTGGAAGATGAATATAAAGAGAATTCTCAAACTTCTCTTTGCAAAATAAGAGAAAAATGAATAGAAGAAAACCAAGAGGTAGAATGTCCAAATTTTCACGTAACTTATGCAGAGCCATTATGGTGAGAAAACAGGCTAAGGGAGATGAAAGGACACGGTCACCAATGCTTTCACAACCAAATTTAAGATGTCAGTGAAGTAGCACATGGCACATGTCTGAGACTTTGCCCACACAACTTATCCAGGAGTCAACCCATTGCAATGAAGTGAGGCACAGAAGCCTCCAAATTATATGGGCTTGGTTGGCGATTAAGGGAACAACTATTCGTAATACCAAAATAACGTCTTTGGCAATGAAGGGTAGATTCCATCCGTTTTACTATCAGGTGTTTTCATTTAAAGAATGCAAGTTATATATTAGATTTTCTAGTAAAAAGCGCCGCCTTCTTGGCATTGCTTAACTTTTAATTGCATACCATGTTCCATTTCCACAAAGAAGAATATCTTTGAAGGGTCTAAAATCTAAATCTTCCACTTACTTAGGTTGCTAAATGACTAAATCCTTCCCTTTACTTATGTAGCTGATGTACCACCAATACCAAGATTCCGCACAGATGACGACTAAAAGGGAAGTGAAGGAAATAAATCCAAAAAGCAAAGTCAAAACTGTAATAGAGATTCTACTTGGAACATTCAATACTAATACCCTTACACTGCTGCGGCATCTTTCTTTTCAAATTTATGCTGGAAAAAATTATGTTTTTTCACACTTGCCTTTAGAGTTGAAAATAACAAGTAACATAACAAGGTTTCAAGGAACTGGGGAATGCATCAATGTTAGGTTACACGGAGAGCGACTGATTACTGACTAACCAAAATAGCACAAACGGAGTATTCATAATTTATCAGCATTAACCAAAAAATAGAATTTTTTTTTTTTTTTTGGGGGG